AATTTTTTGATTTCAGAAGTTTTGGCATTTTACCAGAGGAGATCTGCGAAGACCAATCCTTGCACGGTTTCCTACCAGAATCGAAAACATGGAATGAAGACAGCCATGGAGGTTGGCGAATTGGAGAGGAAAGTAGAGCTAACCAAGGACCTAAAATGAACCTTCCTATCTGTTACAAACTAATCATTGCTCCTGTGGTGAGCTTCTTTGAGGGCCCTGAAATCATCATTGTTCCTGATCGCGCTTTATACCAAATTCCATTTGCCGCCTTAACTGACGAAAGCGGAAAGTACTTATCCGAGACTTTCAGGATCCGTATTGCTCCTTCTCTAACAACTCTTAAGCTCATTAATGAAAGTCCAGCAGACTATCACTGTCAGACGGGTGCACTGATAGTGGGAAATCCTGATGTTGGTGAGGTGCATTTCAAAGGAAAACTGACAAACATTTCTCGACTGCACTTTGCAGAAAACGAAGCGAGGATGGTAGCAAAAAAGCTAGGAGTTGAACCTTTGTTAGGACGGCAAGCAACAAAGCAGGCAGTACTTCAAGCAATGAATTCAGTGGCCCTGATTCATATCGGCGCACACGGTGATGCTGAAAGAGGAGCAATTGCCCTTGCACCATCTTTTCGTATTCCTAACGGAATACCTCAAGAAGGACTCTACTTATTGACAATGTCTGACATTTCAAAGATTCAACTGCGAGCTAAACTGGTAGTCCTTAGCTGTTGCCACAGTGCTCGCGGGCAGACAAAGGCCGAGGGAGCTGTCGGAACTGCCCGAGCATTCTTAGGATCTGGCGCACGCTCAGTGCTGGTATCTCTGTGGGCCCTGGATGACAAAGCAACAGAGCAGTTAATGACTCATTTCTACGATCACCTTGTCGCTGGGGAAAGTGCTGGTGAATCTCTACACGAGGCCATGAAGTGGATGAGAAGTAAGGGATATGACGTGAACCAGTGGGCACCTTTTATACTGATTGGAGATGACGTGACATTTGATTTTGGAGAGAAAGGTAAGATTCAGTGAAAACATGCATAAGTGCTTTCAAATTTTTAATAAACGGCTTTTGGCATTTACTTACAGTTTTCCGGAGATATTATCGATCAAGCTGTATGTATTTTCGAAAGTGTGTTTAGATTTCTATATCTATTTTTTTTTAAGTGTTTGTCGTTTGATCTTGTGCGGCGCACGTATTGTTTGTTTTTTTATGACTGATAACTAGCTCTGTCGATCACGAGAGTGTAAACCATGAAATTACCTTCAGTGTAATACAACGCAATCAACAAGCCGCAGCCATTTATCATATTATAACGAATTCGGAGGGAAATTTTAGAAAACGGGAAATCTAGGAAAGTAGGAGCAACAAGAGAGTGCCTCACATATTTCGTGAGTGTTTCAACATATCGTAATGTTTTATGACGGTATAATTCAAGGCTTCAGATTATTTACTTGGGCCAGACAGTAAAACACGGTTGTCTTGCTTTGAGCATAAAATATAACACCGAGTTAATCAGAGCGCGCGCAGGCCCGATTTTTTTTTTTTTTTTTTTTTTTCAATTTAAGGAAATAAATTTAGATGGTTACTATTTTTTATTGTTGTTTTTTTATTTACTCTGTCAGGTGTTGGCAAGAATAACCAGGACAGCAGCGAGTGATCGCATGAGAAGTAAATATGCCATGACCTCAACGGACAGTTTTACTGCTAGTGCTAACCTGTATATAAATTAAATTGACGTTTTAACTTTGATATTTTTCTGTCTAAAAAGATGTCCCGGAAGACATATGCAGAACAAAACTTTTGAGTTTTATTTCACGTTATGTATTCACCTTTTTTAGGATGAAGCGTTGTTTCCCTAGCAAAGTACACAATGGTTTTTGTAGAACAGTTGGTTACAAGTTATTTTGCCGCTGCGTGTTGGACTCAAATAACTGCTTAAACCTCAAGAATTGAACAAGCTTAGTACGTAAGGTAACTTTTAGTATAGGAATGTAAGATGATGATTTCAATTGTTTGGATCTTCGCTGCGAGGAAAAATAGGCAGTGTAATACCAATTGAAACTGAGGCTCAGCTGACAAACCTAGTGTTTTACCAGCGAAATTCGTTGTTCAATTTGTAAAAATAATGTACCTGAAAAAACATTGAGCGTGAGACTTTGTAGCAATTGTTAAGTTAACTTGAAGAAAGGAATTTAAAATAAAGTTAATTAGCTTCAGAAATGACATGCATTTCCTTATTTGCCGAAATTCTATTTCTGAACATCTTGGTTTTGTTAGTATTTTCATAAATCAGACCTTGTTTACAAGACAAAAGAGCTTTACGATTTGAAGTTTTGCCAATCCGTTGTGAATCGATTGAATAATATAGAAAATGAAAAGAGTATAGAAAGTAAACTGAATCTTTGTTGAACACAAAGGCCAATGGAAGTCTAAATTTAAGTTGCTGTTTACTAGTAAGGTCTACAGTAGCTTTGTAAATAGTGTAACGAAAAACGCTGACCTGTTGGTTAAAGTTTTTTAAGGTAATTAAGAGTTTAGAACAGAGTGACGTCAGAAATTGTTCGCATGACATTTATCACATTTATCGTAAACGTTGTACTGTTGCCAAACAGGAAGAACTTTTTTCATGCTTTAAGCATGTACTCCTTAGGTTAAGTTGACGAGGCCTATTGTTTATTTTTAAATTTTTCATCTAGAGGAATAAATTAAACTGTAAGCAACATAAATCTCAGCTGGACTCCGTTTCTGCAGGCTACTTCTCAGCTATATTAGGCCCAGAGGGGGGGTCGGGGGGGGACTCCCATATAAAAAGGACGGGGGTGATCGTCGGAAATGTTGAAAATAACCTCTACAAAGATTCTGCTTTGT